ATAGGAGCAAAACAAAAGCATACTGATAAAATACGATAGCACACGCACATAAGGAAAAAATATGACCAAGCAAGAAAAATAATTGGGAAAAATACAGTATGTCAAAGTTTTCGGACAGAACTTTCCGAACAACCCAATAGAATTGCTGTATCGTTTACATGTATTTGCAAATTTGGACAGGCAAATGTACAATGACAGCAATTAGCTTGCAATTTTACTAAAATTCTTAAGTTTGAGAAATTATGATTATGCTGGCCTGAGTGACTTGAAGACATATATTATTTATAGTTACTTATTTCTACTGATTTCAGGAATCATACCGCTTCCCTGAGACATCCTCTTCTGAGACGAGAGGAGCTTGCTCGGCGCCACATGAAACTGACGAAAAATTCGGTATTGCTCTTATTGGCATCTCACTTTCCCTTTCGTCATAATGATATCTAGATATATCACGCATGAAAGAAATATGTATAACTTTCAGGAAAGGGTACGTGTACAGCCACTGAAGGACGCTGGCGATTTGGGTCATATTCCAGTTTGCATCAGAGGTGGTGATGGTGCTTCAACTCCCAAATTCCTTGACTGCAGGAGTTGGGGAAACTCTCTCCCGGAATACAGTCATGCTTCTCGGAATCCATTTCTTAGGAAGACATTGGAAACTAGTATCGAGTGTTTTCTTTCCTATGTTCTGTACCCGCGCGGGAAAAGTTCAGAATTCCTGGTCCATTTCATGTAACCTTCTGTTCTTTTTCCCTACTTTTTTTTGTTGCTCTCATTAGGTTCTTTTTCTTGGATTCTCTATTGTACATTGCATCCATTTCCCTTTCATGCTTCATATATTGCATTTTAAGCGCGGCTCTTTACTGTATAATGCCATTGTGATTTTATTATGCTTCCACTTGTACATTGGGACAAAGAGTGCATACTTTTCTTCATCGTTCTTTGGGAATGAAATTTTATCCACTAAAATCGCTTCTGATTATTTTTTGTGGTGGTGTTAAAAGCCATTTCTCGTAATTAAGACACTTCGTGACATGTTAAGGACTTATTTAGGCAACTTCAAATTTTCGATCACCAGGAACTTTTCCCCCAGCCTACTCTGGAGCAACTGATGATAAACGCCTATGAATTTTAAATTGTGGCCCACAACTACAATATATGAGACTGAGACTAAAGACTGAGTTCGGTCGAGACTGGGGACTATCATTGAACGCACCCGGTCGGTTTTCGGGCAATTGTCCAAACTTCGACTGATGGTTCCAGCCCGAATTCCACACCCTGTATCCAGTCGGCTTTCGGCCAATTGTCCGAACTCGGACCGAACCGAGAGGCTCACTTCTCCACGCACCCAGTCGAATTTGGGACAAATTGCCTACATTCATTTGAAAGCAATGCTCTGCTCCGTTTTCAACCTAGGATTTCAATCATTTACTAGCGAACGTATTCCTAAATAAAAAAATTTTCATTATCCTACCAAGGTTTCAAACTCCTTCCACAAAGGGACTCGGGATCATAAGAGAATGCGGATCCACGTCGGAGGTGGTCGGAGATCCATTTCCTGCCAGGTTGGATTCATCGAATGCGTGATTTGGCCGTCAGCGATATTGATGGCATTTAGCGGGGGGAGAACGAGTATGTTCTCGCATTAAGTTGCACCATTTCGCCCTAGCACAGTAGTATGGGGAAAATGCCTTTCACGTGAAACACTTGGCTCTGGAATAACATGGCTCTGGAATAACATTGCTTTTCCCTAAATGAAACTTCAAAATTAAAACGAATCTCGTTTAATGCTCTCGCTGCGGTGGCAGGGACGCAAAACCTTATTCCAGCCGTTCCGCACTCTCAGCTCTGTGATTGTGAATGCTCAGAGCCTTCCAGATCTTTTCGTTTTTGAAGCGTAGGAAAGCGAACTGCGCCACAGTAGTTGTCATAATGGTAAGGGGTATTCAAGTACCTGCCAGGGTTCAAAACGCTGTTAATGTAGGAAAATGCAAGGGCTCTCAATTTCACGAACCTTTCTTTGATTGGCAAAGATTGACATTCCCGGTAACTATCCGTACTACTTCAAAATACCTGGGGAAGAAATACCTAGCTATCAGATTGTGGAAGATTATTGTCGGTTTTTGGAGTGCCAACTTCGAAAACTCACTAGACAACGTTGCACTTGTTTCATACCATGTGTTATACATCAAATCGTACCTTGTTTTGTCGTATATTACGTGCATATAGTTTTACTTTCATTTAATTCTTTAATTCGAAACAAATACTTTAATTCGAAGAGTCTGAGAGTTGTAGTGGTTGTCACCCCAGAGCGCGAGGCCTACGAGACTATGTCACTTCATGCCATAGGCTACGCCATCCACCTCTCAAAGCGCCAGGTCCTCTAGGCTATGTTATTATAGGCCATAGTCTTCGCCATCCAACGCTTTTAGCGCCAGATCCATTGAGCTATATCATTGTGAGCCATAGGCTTCGTACTTAGCTTACAATTCGGGACATTTTGTCAGGCCTCTCCACGTCATCTCAAATCACTCCAGTCGTTTCCGCAGCGAGCACTGTCAGGCTGTACATTTTGATGTAGGGAGGAGGCATTTGTTTCACAACGAAAACGTGCTCACTGGTGCTGAAATGTGAGTTGCAGCAGGAGCAACACTTTCCAGAAAATGCCTCGCCACCACATTACCCTGAGGCTCTGAATTACTCGCTAGCATTGTGCCGCACATGTACTGAATTCCCTCTGTGCCTTCGAACAAGTTCTTGGAAATGGCCCGACTGTTTCAGAATCATTGGTGTCTGTACTATTGAATATATGCTAACGCTAATAGCATATGGTGATGCAAGAGTTTTGAATGTGCTAGGATGACGAAATCAGCAATGTCGTCTTGAGTCTCATGAAAACGTGCTAAACCGAGGCGTTCACAATGGCGATTGTGCCAATCAGCTCGAATATCATGATGATGGTGTTTAGGAGCAGAATCTCCTTGTACTGTAAGCTATATGTGTGTAAATGTAATGAAGCGGTTCAGTTCCGAATGGGTAATGCAATGAACAGAGGATCGTCAAGAAGACGTTATGCTCACAATAGACGATTCAAATTTCCACATACTAGACGGCCAGCGTAGCGGCCGCAGGCCGCCAGTCACTGTTTGATTTGCGTCATCGTTCAAGATGTACCGCGCTCTGGCCGTTCGTAAGTCACTGATTAAGTCGGGCCCCCTGCCAGACGGTCCGAGAACTCGCAACGATCCTCAACGTTGACGCTAAGACTGTTTTCAACCATCTGCGGGGACATCGGCGAGGTCCGCAAGCTCGAGAAGTAGGTCCCCCATGAATTGAACAGAAATCAACGGCGCGCGATCTGCACTTCGTTGCTTCTGCGGAACAAGCATGAGCGGTTCCTCGACCGAATCGGGACCTGCCATGAGAAATGGATCACATGCTATAATTCTCAGCGCTCGAGCCAATGGGTGAACCGCGATGACCTGCCAGCAAAGGTGCCGAAACGCGACTACCAATCAAGAAAGATCAACTACCAATCAAGAAAGATCATGGTTACCGTTTAGTGGTCTTTCGCTGGTGTCATCCATTATGACTTTCTCTAAACTAGTACCACTCTCATTACCGAAGTCTATTGTCAAGAGCAAAGATGACAGCCCAACGCCTTGAGATATTCCCCCACCTGCCATATTCACCCGTTGTGTCCCCCACTGATTACCACTTCTTCCTGTCCCTAGTCAATTTCTTGCGGGAGCAACTCCCGCAAGAAATTGAGGTCACAAAGGAGTTCAATGACTTCGTCGCGTCCAGAGACCCCGAATTCTTAATTTCGACATAAAAAATACGGTTTAAAGGTTGGGAAAAGGTTGATGAATCGGATGGTTTTTACTTTGATGAATAAAGTTGATTCTCTGACGAGATATGAACTTCCAAAGCAGCGGGGAAAAAAACCGACAATACTTTTTCCACAACCTGATACGACCAACTGACAACCTTTTCATGATGCCATTCCTCTCCTAAAGCCATATAAACTTAAATTACCATTCCATGATCCATTGCACTCCTCGATTTAATCTCAAATTGCCCTCGATCAAACCACTCATATTAACTTAAAAGTTCAGTAAAGGTGACAGTGGAATTAATGATAAATTGAATCAATTTCGGATTTGAAATCCTCGTCACTGAAGGTAAACGATTGGTTCGACACAAGGAAATAAGTCATTGAAACGATGCCAGTTCTCGCCTAGGTCCTCAAGGGATTCGAAGATCACTGGCCGAGTTGCCGAGCAGTCTCGGTTTACCCACCGATCTGGGACTAAAAGGACGCCACGTCCTCCCTCTGAGCATTATAGAGGGGCCCATGCGTCGTACTGCTTAACATTATTATAATTTGTGTGTTCTTTCGAGGAATCCGAAGTCCAAAGGATTCACCGACCAACCTCCCGTGTTGGTAGCTCCAATCCTTGCCTTAGGAGTCTGCGCTCGCTCCTGAACGAACAAGTACTCTTCCTTAGAATGTACCTAGGTGTATTGGTTAATTGGGCGCTCCTGGGCTTGGTCAAACGAACATTTCCAGAAGAGTGTGACATTGATTTCCAAACTCTTGCAAGCCTTCTCCGCATTAAGGACGTAGTAGCATAGGCCGAGTGGAACCTCGAGGAAAACGATACTTAACACATTGCACACTAGGCATTTTACCCCGTCGATCTGCCGCTCCGACCTAAGCCTGTTACATTAGCCTAAAGCTCGACGCGTACAAGACTCTGACTTTTTCGGTCAAAGGGTAGGCAAAAGGACTCAGCATACCGCTTGGAGAGATTCCGCTTTTAAGTGTTAAAAGAGAGGGCCTTTGAATTTCATTTTCATTCGAATCCATTTTGCAGCCTCTAGATCGTCGCCTTCGGTAGCTTCGATAATGGAAGAGAAATATAATTGTCACTAAGCATTTATTAACGTTTCTTGAAAGCGATAATGACCACATACGCACATCCTAGCGGAGTTTTTCAGGGCGACTTCTTGCATACGTAGGACGCAGGTTCACCTTTCGGGAGTTCATCCCACGAGGATGTGGTCATGACAACGCATTCGCCACCGTCGTCAGTGGGATACCCATCCTCCCAACGATCCACTTGAACCCGAGACCCATCCACCCAAGTCCACTCTTCCGTCACATCTAGCCTCAAGCCTACCCAAAATTCCGTCCACTTCGGAAGGGGATGCGGGAAGCGTTCGTCAGGTTCAAGGATAAGTGCTACATTCATGTGATTAACTTCGTCACCACCAATGGAAAGGATAGCACCTCCAGAGTCCTCGCAGTGAGACAAGGCTTTACTAAAGGTAAATGATTGGTTCGACACATGGAAGCAATATGAACCCAAACAGTGCCAGTCTTCTCCTAGGTCTGCGTTTGATTCGCAAATCACTGGGCGGGTTTCTGAACAATCTCGATTGACCCACCGATCTGGGACCAAGAGGATTCCGCATCCTCCCCCTGGGCACGAGTGAAGAGGGGACCATACCTCATACTCCCACACGTTATGGTAATCGGTGGGTGTCCCGTCGAGGAATTCCAAGTCCAAAGGATTCACCGATAAATCTCCGGTGTTTGTTGCCCCAACCCAAACAGTAGGAGTCTGCGCTCGCTCCTGAACGAACAACTGCTCCTCCCTAGTGTATACTGGTCAGTTGAGCGTTCCTGGTCTCGCAGTCTGCCTGGGCTTGGTTAAAGGTCATTTCCACGTCGGAAAAGTAGTAACAATGCTCCCCAAACTCTTGCCAGCCTTCTCCGCATTTGGACACAGTGACATAGGCCAAGTAAAATCGGAATCCCTGTTGATCGTCGGAATCGCAGTTAAAAGTGATGGAAAGTGTGTTCCCAATCGATTCGATCGTCCAGGGATGATCTTGGCCACAAAATTCTTTTTGCTCTCCTTCTTGATCGGAAACGGTGAGGTAATCGCCAGAAAGGCAATCCACGGATTCCTCAATTAAGAAGTCAATGAATGTGAGGATGATTTTACGAGTTGCTGGAGCCTAAGAAAAAAAGAGGGAAATTGGCTTTAAATTCATGAACATTGATCGAAATTGAGCGAGTATCTGCTTCAAATCCGTTGCAACAACAATTTCATCCAAGTAGAACGGTTCAGCACCTTTCCATTATACCTGGTTACATTTTTACAATGCTTCAACAACTTAAGCTTATTTTGTAATGTATTGTTAGGAACTAATGATAAGTGATGTAACAATTCCTAAGAACATTTGGAGCAAGTAGTTTCTTCAGAGACGTTTTCCTAAGAAATAACCCCAGACGGTGATTTTTCATTAAATCACCGACATACTCGAAACGTGGGATTCAATTGTCAGTGTAGAAGAACCTACACCCTAGACGTAATGAGTAGGGCTAATGCCGGATGTAATGTAGTTACGTGGATTTCCCAGTGACAATTGACGTTAGGGGGATAGGAACTGGGATATCCAGGAGACTTGATATCCCCATAGGGTTCCGTGAGCACCTCGCCACATTCCTGGGACACGGAAGTGCCCACGAAGCAAACCAGTTCCAGGAGCAGGGACACAAATACAACACCCTTCAACTGCAAATTTCAAGAAGCCGTCGTGGAAATGAGGTTCATAAATCAAACAGAATGGGGCCCAGATTGACTTACTTTCATGACAGGGTAGAGAGGAGAGTGTGGAGGCGAAGGATAAAAATATAAGTGGTTGAAGAGAAGTTGCTTGAGCAGCTGCGTGTAAAAATCCGAGTTGCCGAAGGAATATATAGGGAGAACGTGGGAACGGACAGGTGGATGGTACGTGACGAGGCTTGGTTTACAACTGGACGTTTTCCAAGGGAAAGTCTCATTGTTCCCATTATAGGAGAGTTTTTCCCTTGTTCCTACCCGGAAACTCCGATTCACATAACGTTATCATGTCGCCGCACACTTGACGACAGCGCTCGTTCGTATAAGCACGTTGAAAGCGTGGGGGGATTGGGAATTGCACGATTCATCTGGATTGGGCCCTCCTCGGGACTCTTGAAGCAATAAAAGCTAGCGGCTGTGATTAAATGTGCTTCGCAAGGCCTTTTATATCAGAAGAACGGGTGCGTCTGATATCGGGAAAAGGAGTGTGCTAGCACAGGTTCACAATGGACAGGAGTTTCCGATTGCATACAACAGTCGAAGATTGAGCATGGCAGAACAAGGAGAGATAGTAGTTACGGGAATGGTTCCACTGGACCTAATCTGTATTCTCTATTCCCACTCTCATTCTTCATCTGATCATGAGTTCTGCTACTGTAGCATGACGTGCGAAACTTCTAAACCTACACTTTTCCAGGCCCAAGGACACGGGGCGATGCGTACTATTACTTCTAGTGGAGATGAGTGCATGACTAGTTGAGATGATGGGTAGACAATAAAACGATTACAAGGATGATGTAGGCGTTTCTGACGTGACTATATTTGAGGATTAGAAAACTCCACGTGCTTTTCTCATAAGGATTATAATGCAGGCATCGTGTAATGCGACAATCGCAGATGTCAGATATCAGTAGAAATGAGATTCGAAAAAGGTAGAGAAGAGAGTTTTAGGAATGGTTCATCGGCCTTATATGCTTTACGAGGAAAAGACATCGATGATCGTAACGTACTTACGTTCTGCCCGCACCTCAAAGCCTTGACATAAATTTTTAAAACTAAATGTAGGAAGACCCTTGCCTAGGCGACAGGGGTAGACTAAATCACCTGTAGAAATCAATCTTTAAACTTGTCTCCTCACTTCACTGACGGAATATCCATGTTGAACTACATGACTTCCACTCTACTCCGCTCACGCGGACTTCGTCCACGCAATTTTTCACTCCGTTAAGCCTATGGTAAGCCTAAGTTACAGCCTCGTAGGTCCGCGGGTACTAAGCAGCAGAGGTATAACTCCGAACAGCCGTCTTGAGATACCTATTGTTTTGAGATACCTATTGTTTTAAGGCAAATTTAGGACGGTAGAAGAAGCGCCAAGGTACCACCATATGGATTAAAGTTCTGCAGGCTCACTTTCCCAAAGATCAACACAGGAGGATACATTGACGGTACATTCACCGCTTGCGTTAAGTGATCTTCCCAATGATCCCAGCGATCTGTCTACCCCTCTTGTTACATCTAGCCTCAAACCGACTCAGAACACTGACCATTTTGGAAGGTGGTGTGGGAAGCGTTCATCATACTCGAGGAAATTAACCACCGTTACGTGATTCAATTTGTCATATCGAGAGGAAAGGATATTGGCTACCTATTGCTGGCGATGAGGCGGTACTAAAGTTGAACGATTATTGGTACAAAAGAATATTGCAAAACGAGGCAATGGTAAAACGTACAATGCCAATTCTTACAATGCCCAGGTTCTGATTGCATTCTCACATCATTTGGTAATTTCACCAATCCGGGACCAAAAGGACATTGCATTCTCCCTTTGGGAACGAATTAAGAGGAATCTCGTATGTAGCTAGTACTGCCAGAAGTGGCGATATGTGTCCGGCAGAACACTTACCGATGGACAACTATTCTACCGCTTTTGAGAGCCTGAAAGTTTCTGCTGGACTCGCCTGCAAGATACACCAACGTGCTTGGTGAAGCATGTTGCTGGACACAGACAAGTGTCGTCGTGGCTAACTGTAATTGTCATTTTGCACTTAAGTATGTCTTTATTCCCATATCACAAAGTGTAATGTACTTCTGAATTAAAGTTCTTTCTTACTGGAACTTCCTTAGATTTTATTGATACAAGTTAATGAATCTTTGTTCCAATTCAGAATATTATAGATCAATGACTATTCCCAGGCCGCATTACCCTAAGCTTCTGCTATTCGAGCCTAACGCGCCCAGCCTACAAGCATATGTCTTTCTAGTCCATTGGCTAGGCGAAAGGGCATGATACGTACTAAAACGCTTGAGGGTGCGAATGGTCTAATTCAGCAAGCTTTATTGAAAAGTAGTGTGTTAGATATGGTCAGTAGCCCTTCCGCTGCAGTACGACCCGCCGCCAGGTCGAACATTCTCCTGAGTTAAACGAATCGTCGGCGGGTCGTTATGTACCGGGTGGCCATCGTGGGCGTAGGTCTCGGACTCCGTACAGGAAATTAAACAAATGTAAATACAAAGATCTCTACTTACCGGNCCCATATCACAAAGTGTAATGTACTTCTGAATTAAAGTTCTTTCTTACTGGAACTTCCTTAGATTTTATTGATACAAGTTAATGAATCTTTGTTCCAATTCAGAATATTATAGATCAATGACTATTCCCAGGCCGCATTACCCTAAGCTTCTGCTATTCGAGCCTAACGCGCCCAGCCTACAAGCATATGTCTTTCTAGTCCATTGGCTAGGCGAAAGGGCATGATACGTACTAAAACGCTTGAGGGTGCGAATGGTCTAATTCAGCAAGCTTTATTGAAAAGTAGTGTGTTAGATATGGTCAGTAGCCCTTCCGCTGCAGTACGACCCGCCGCCAGGTCGAACATTCTCCTGAGTTAAACGAATCGTCGGCGGGTCGTTATGTACCGGGTGGCCATCGTGGGCGTAGGTCTCGGACTCCGTACAGGAAATTAAACAAATGTAAATACAAAGATCTCTACTTACCGGTTAGAGAAGGTGCTGAAAATGATCTCCTTCAATGGACTTTTGTGCATGCCGCAGCATATTGTCATACACGCGATGCAACTCAGCGGCGTCAATTCTCCGAATTTCAGTCCGAATATTTTCCTTCAGGTCTTCCAATGTTTTTGGATAATATGCATACACTTTTCCCTTCAAATTGCCCCACAGATAAAAGTCACAAGGTGGATAGGTCCGGCGATCGCGGCGGCCACAAACCTTTGCTGACATTTCGTTCTTATGTGAATACGTCGTGAATTCGAGACAGTGACTCACGAGAAGTGTGACAAGTCGCTCCATCCTGCTGAAAGACGGCGTACTCGCGTTCATGGGGCGTCAATTGTGCGTAGAATTCCTCAAAGATTCCCATATACACACGACTGTTCACGGTTGTTTCAAAAAATATGGGACCCACACTCCGTGTTGCAGACACCGCACACCAGACTCCGATTTTTTTTATTATCGTGAAGGGGTTGTCTACTGACCAGTATCTGATGTTCTGAGAATTTACATGTCCTGACAGATGGAACCAAGCTTCATCGCTCACGAAATACAGCAGGGGATCCAGCAATCCACTCACAATTGTTTGAAGGAGCCACGTGCAATAATACACGCGTTTTACCTTGTCTTCCTGCTTCAGTTCTTGGACACATGTCATTCTGTACATCTACAGTGCAACACACGTTGACAAGACCTGCGCGAAACATGCGTTTGTTGCGATCATTTACGTGTCGACTTAGTAGGGCTTCTGATAATCCGTTCTTGAATATCCGCGATCACAACAGGTGTACGAACGGACGGGGCTCGATTCTTTTTTTGCGTTTGCAACTGACCCTGTTGTACGCCACTTTTTAACCAAATCTTGTATACTGCTCTTTGCTGGTAGGCCAACGCCAGGAAACTTGCTTGCAAAAATGTCCCGCGTTTCCTTAATGGAGCCGGTACACACATATGCCTCCACTATTGCGATTCTTTGTTGAAGAGAATACATCTTGCAGAGCTCCTTTGCACACTGCTATAGCCACTTCCTCACGGCTTTCGACTGACAGACTTTGGAATAGTCAGCCAGACACCGTCGCAACAAGGAGGAGTCGGTCGTGACGGAATTTGTCTGTGTACGCGCTCGTGGTAGGCGGTCGGAGACGGGCCGGTTTTTCGTGCGCCACCCTGTATAATGCAGTCTAGATTCTCGCAATGGTAAAGTGGAGGTCTGTAGAGTAAGAATGCGTTCACACAGGCTGTGTCGAGGAGCGGTACCATCGCACTGTTCCCCTTGGCGTTAAGGAAAAATTGGAGCTGATCCGAAATGTAATGATAAGGATGGCACGACTGAATGTCCCAAGTTCGGTGGTGTAATGATTGTTCCCGGGCCTCCTGATTGCCGGTCGGGTGTACTATTTACACCAGTTATCGTTTGGAGGACCATAAATGGTGAACAATTTACTGCTAACGTCAGGCAGGAAACAATTTAGAAAGGGAACAGGCTAGGACGATGTGCCCGGCTTCGGTCAACAGATAGGACAAGCCGTCGAAGGAGAAGACTGATGTCAAATGAGGGTTTCTTGTACTAGATATTTGTTCAATATACAGAAGCATAATTAGGACTCCATAGACGATAGGAATTATTGGTGACAGGACTGTGCTCGAGTTTTCACGAGCGCCGTAGCGAAATTAGTTAAGCGGCTAAGTTTAGAGATATGATGAGACGCCCCTGCAGAATGGAAGCGGCGAGGCAGTGTAGGTCTGTATTGGTCAATGAACAATGTTAATGCCGAGGGGAGAGCGGAATGGAGGTAGCGTTGGGCTACGTCAACTGCGGAGTAACGTGAGGCTCTTTACGCCACGCGGAGAGCATCGTATCTACACGCCAAACTACAATATACTAATCTTTCTGCGGTGGCAAGGACGCCCAACGTCATTGCAGTCGTTACGCACAATCTCGGCGCCATGATTGTATAATGCTCTGCTTACGGGCTATTTATTTTTAAGCGAAGAAAAGCTGTTTTCGGCATAGTTGTTACTCCCTCTGTCTCAAAATAAAATCGGTGTTTTAGTAAAAGTTTGGGATTAAGAAATGGTCGAAGGCTAGGAAGGCGTCAGATATTAAGCTTGAACTATTCTGAACCTAGCTTCGAAAATTTTAGGGTTAGGGGCTAACTGAAAAGTTGAGAAAAGTGGCGTCAAAATTGGGCCATTTCAGGTGCTTCTGCGATCGTTGCCGGTACTTTGATATGGAGCATGCGAATATGGTTGAAGGACGAGTAGACACAGCTGCCCAAGTTGTCCCATCGGT